CCAACTTTAAAACAATGTTTTTAAGAGCAACCACCTCAGCACGAAGCTGTACACACTCACAGTGATGTAAAACCCGTTCATCATTAAAACCAACAGATGTATTAAAAGAAGCAGCATTAACTTGATTTGTTGTCATCTTAAAACACTCTTCTCAACACAGTGTTAAAATCTTTAAACGTTCCCCATACGGGCCACCATATGTAACGATTGGCCTTATCGGCCGAATTACATAGATTTAAAATGGGGTCAGATTAAACTGTGTGAGGTAAAATAAGTGTTTTAAAAAGATGAGACAACAACAAAAGTAGAATGAATAAATAGCGTATTTACAAAATTCACAAGGAACTTAAAACAACACAATAAAACTAGAAATCCTAGGCTGTTAAAAGCACAGAGTCTTTCAGTTCCATACCGTTAAAACAGTCCTTAAGAAATCCAGCGTGCTGTAAGTTCCAATGTAAAAGTGTCCACCGGTGTATATACAGTCCAAAGAAAGTGATAATCCAATATGTGTGAAAATACTGGAATGGTAAGTCCATAAACAACTAACTCCACAATCCAGCGTGTAGGTGTTTGGTCAATGACCTTGTCTGTTTGTCATGCTGCCTCCTTTGTACTGTTCAGTTCCTATTTTTTGTCATGTGATGAGTCACATGACAGGCAGACCCAGAGTCACTTCTTCTTCTTCTTCTTATTCGTTTTTTATTGGCGGCTCGCAATCACCAATTGAGCATTACCGCCATCTACTGAAGCAATGGATCAGAGACTTGAATTCCCTTTTCCCAGACCTATCAGAACTCAAGCTTTCGATGTTGCTGCGTGTTGGTAAACTAAGCTTTTTTATACCCTTCTAACAAAATACTACATTAATTCAGCTGGACACACTTTCCTTATTTTCTCCACAACAAATGGCCAAGCAAGCGCAGACACTGACAAGATACGCGATACAGAACGAGACCAAACGCTATATCAGCACGTCTCCACACAGTAAACAAAACAAGCATTTCCTACACACTGACAAGATACGCGATACAGAACGAGACCAAACGCGATATCAGCACGTCTCCATACAGTAAACAAAACAAGCGTTTCCTAGCAACGACAACTGCACTACACACTAATGAGACAAGTAAATACGTCACTGCGTGGGAAGATTTGTATAATACTGCCCAAATGTTTACGCAAAGAAAGAAGGCGTAACCTTTATTCTCGCTGTAGTATTGTTGTCGTGGATACGCTGTGTTTCCAATTATGGTAAGGGCGTAACATTTCCGTCACACGCTTGAGGTATTGGGCCAATCACAACGCACTGGATAGCTGGCCAATCAGAGCACACTTCGCTTTTCAGAACGATGAGCTTTGTAAAAATTGACATGTTTCAGAAAGAAGAGCAACAATAATGTACTGTATGTGGAAAATAACATCTTTTCTTAACCCTCTTAGCACCAAAGTCGCAAAATTGCGACAAGACGTCATACTTAATAAAATAGACTGTAGTTCCTAATATGGTGTAATATGTCATTTGTATTCCCTACCACTAGATGGCAGACATGTAGTACTTCGATTCTGGACCAAAATTACGTCACGTTCCTATTCAAAGTGTTCGAGGAAATAGCAGAGCAAGTGAGCTATCGTGTCATTGATGCGGAAGCAGTTCAGTTCATAGCGTGCGAGTAAATTGTGAGATTTGTGAGAGAAAATCGCCAAATGGCTAATATAAAGTTGTACCGTGAGGATGTGTTGCAAATGTTATTCGCCGATTCTGACTCTGAAGGGGAATATTTGCCTTTTGGAAATGACGATCGGTCATCTAATAATCGCGCTTCTCCCGGTACATCTTTGCAGCACAATGGTGCCGCCGTGCAAGGCGAGAGTGTTCACGAAGCACAAACAAGTGATCATTTCGACCCTTTGCCCAACGGGGATGGGGGTGGCAGGGCAATATCTATTATTTCCTGAATATTACTGATGAACTGATCAAAAAGTAGGCTACTGTTCACATGCGTTTTACTACTATATAGTATAGTAATATAGTAATAATTTAGTACTTTCTCCTGTTTTATTGTTGGTTTCCTCTTTTCTGAAAATTTGGAATGAGGATAAAAAGACAAAAAAAAACATGCAAATAAGTTCAAACATCAATTCAATATCTATTATTTCATGAATATTATGACATTCAA